ACATGTAGTATGTAGTATATTTTTATACCAATCTGCGTGGGATAAATGTTTCAACGATAAAATCACAACTAGACCTAGTTTTGATATCATGATAATACTTGGACATGTTAACATTAGGGTTCCATTGTAAAAGGTTATTCCGTAGCTCAAGAGTTTAATATAGTACTAAATCAATAGCGGAATAGTGATGCAAAGAGAAGATATATGTTGGGTCATAGCTCTCGCTCACTCGGCTGAGGGAACTTATAAGTCCCAAAGCTTGCCATCTGAATAGAAAAAGCATATAAACATGCTGGAGAGAAGGGAATTACTCAATCAAAACATTGTGCTTATGTTGTTGGCAAAGATGTTGACCCAAAAGAAATGAAAAGACTTTTCAAGGAAAGACACAAGAATAATTGTTTTTTCATTGAAAGGTTCAAACATGAAAAGAAGGTCAATGAAAATAAACTTCTCACTGATCTTTATGTCTAACCTGTTGTTGGTGTACTGGATGCAACAGAGAAATTCTTGGAGTTTACGGGTAAAGGAATCTACAAGGCAAAAGTTCTTAGGCAAGAAAATGATCAACACCTTCATAGTGTAGTTATTGTTGATTGTGGGGAAGAAGCCGATGGAAGGAAATATTAACTTATAAGAAATTCCCACGGACACGATTCGGGATATAAGGAAATTGAGAAAATTGGGAGGGAGCCCACGCATAGAGCTTCCGTTTTTCTCGAGTACTTTTATGCAACAAAAAAAAATTGTTGCTTAGCCAAACCACCCAGACTATAATTATATGAAGGGAAATTCAATGACAATGGCGGATCTATAGAAAATTGTTATTGGAGCATAAAAATTTTAAAGTTGAGATTATAATTTTTAACGAAAATTATATATTCTATGTGATGATTGACCATAATTTTATATTTTTCAAGATTCTCCACAAATTTGAATGAACTATTTAGATTTGAATAGAATTCGATTTAAAAAAACTGTGATCATTGCTTCGTGTATTCTAAAAGAATTCATTTCACGGTTTGATTAGTTTAGCTCTGATACCACTTTAAGTTGTCAGATTTAATTCTAAATGATCAACCCAATAGGAGTAACTCACGGTATCATCCAAGAATTGTTTCATACCACTTTAATTTCTCGGATTTCATTCTAAATGATCAATCCAATAGGAGGAGTAGTGATGACAGTTTTATTACAAATATCATAGTAAATAAGAGTTTCAATGATGTTGTATCTCATTATAAAAGATTGTCAAACCCTTGCGTTAAGTTTGATTGAACAACCGCTAAGAAAAAATCTTGGGCGCTAAACTTTGGAGAAGTAAGGAACAACTTTAATGTTATAATATGGTCATTGGAGCGCTACAATATGGTCTATAAACCACTTGTGCGTTAATGATAACCATTTTGTTTTATATTGTTGTCTATTCAAATTTAAATAATTCATTCAAATTTGTGGAGAATCTTGAAAAATATAAAATTATGGTCAATCATCACAAAGAGTATATAATTTTTGTTAAAAATTATAATCTGTACTTTAACATTTTTATGTTCCAATAATATTTTTCTCTGGATATGCCATTGCCATCAAATTGCCCTTCATATAACTATAATCTAGGTGGTTTAGCTAAACAACAACTCTCTTTTGTTGCATAAAAATATTTGAGAAAAATGGATTGGAAGCCCTATGCGTGGTCTCGCTCTCAATTTTCCCAATTCCCTTATATCCCCAATCGTGTCTGTGCGAATTTCTTCAAGCCAATATTTTCTTCCATCGGCTTATTCCCCACAATCCACAATAACTACACAATGAAGGTGTTGATCATTTTCTTGCTTGGGAACTTCTGCCTTGTAGATTCCTTTACCTGTAAACTCCATGAATTTCTTTGTTGCATCCACACTATCCAGTACATCAAAAACATGTTGGCCAAACGGATCATTGAGAAGTTTATTTTGATTGACCTTCTTCTCATGTTTGAACCTTTCAATGAATAAACAATTATTCTTGTGTCTTTCCTTGGAAAGTCTTCTGACTTCTTTTGGGTCAAGATCTTTGCCAACAACATAAGGACAATGTTTTGATTGAGCAATTCCCTTCTCTCCAGCATCTTTATGTGCTTTCTCTATTCAGGGGGCAAGCTTTGGATCCTCACCAAGAAATAGTGCACTGTCTTCAAACGAATCGTCTTAAAGATGTCTACATTCGTCCAATTTTTTCAGCATTTTGACATATTCATAGTAGTTTATTTTACTATCAATTTAATCTTAAAATGAAAAACAAATCTTCGTGAGGGGGCTAGTCATACATATTTCACTCTTGATTATTTGTACTCTTACAATATATCAATTTGGAGTTTGAGTAATGATACAATATTATTTCGTTTAAAGTCATATGATTTTTATTAAATAACGTTTAAGAGGTTAAAGAATGATAGACAACTGTCATTTATAAACAAGTGATTGATTTTTCATATTGTATTGCCCTGATGGTCATCATATTATTATGATATGAGTCTAGGTAGAAAGTTTAACTTGCCACTTACTTCTCCAAGTTTGACATGCATGATTTTTTATTCTTATTCCTTGGAAGATATGTATATATATTTCGTTAAAAGATGACTAAATTACATTGCCAAATGATTTTGATTATTGGCTTTTTCTTGTCAGAGGCAGTTCGATCAAACTTGATACTCATGGTTCACAATGAATTTTTTGAAAATGGGATACACCAACATTAGAACTTTTTATTATTATAAAATGGGGATTTATATCAAAGCTGCCAAAATTTGTCCAAGTATTGTAAGATAATCCATTGCAAAAATAGATTGGTTTGACTCTAATACTATGTTAAGATATGAAATTCCATTCTAAAATATTAATCTATCAGGTCTTACATAATTTTGGAATTTTTAAGTTGGCCAAATAGACCTTTAAAGAGTTACGCTTAATAATCGGTTCTTAACAATGACTAAATCACAACTATACTTGCTCTGATACCTTGGTAAGACTTGGGGATGATAAGATTTGGAGTTTCATCCTAAAAAATCAACTTAATATGATTAGAGAAGTAACTAAAGATTCTAATATATCAGTCTAATTACTAGTTCATATTTTACCTATGTAGGAAACATTGCACATGCTTCCAGCTTATAGCTTATAAGCGCTAGCTTAATTTAATCAAAACCTGTCACTTGAAAATACACTCACTTCAGTTTTTCAAAGTAAAAAGCTGAAAAGCACATTTTTAATTTGGTTCTACTTTAATTTATTTTAAAGTATTTCTTGAGAAAGTGCCTACTAGTAAAAGTTGGTACTATTTGGGAAAAAAAAATTTGAAAAAATAAAAGTTAGTAGTGTTTGGTAAAACAAGTGCTTTTATCTAAGAGAAAAGGGGCAAATAAGTCCTCGAACTATTTGCGTTTTTGCAATCAGGCCCATGAATCGGAAGATTTGCAGATACACCCTTCAACTCGTTGAAAATTATGCAATCAGAACGTTTTTACTTGTTGATGCCGGTAATTTCTTCTATCCTTACCTGCACCAACAGATAAAAAAGGATGTGATTGCTTATTTTTCAAAGAGTTGAAGAGTGTATTTGCAAGTCTTTCGGTTCAAGGGCCTAGTTGCAGAATCGCAAATAGTTCGAGGGCTTATTTGCAATTTTTAGCTTGTAAGTGTTTAATTTAAACAAAAATTATAACTTGAAAACACTCATTACAACTTTTGAAAGCCAAAAGCTGTACAACATTTTTTTAAAGTTTTTACAAACACTCCGTGGACCTATAATTCACAGCAAAGCTATAGTTATCTATTCTATCATTCAAAGAACATAAAAAAGATGATCCCCTACATACATGGGCATCTTTAGTTTTTCGGAGGTCCTAGACAGTAAAACTTACTGTGTAAACATCATATAACGGTATCTCGACAGTGACAATTGCCACCGGTATGGTTAACAAAGTTTTGTAGGCAATATAATCCAAACATTTGAATGTACACAAACACTTCAATCACTTTTTTTGTGCATCTTGACATGAATTTTCTGAGCAACTAGTACCGTCAGATTAAGTAGAAATTACCTGAATATTTCAATTAGCAAAAGCAAAAAATATTTCATTTATTTATCATCCAACCTATTCAATACCAATATAGCAATATTAACCAAACAATTTGTAAATTATAATCTTAGTGCAAGTATTTAACTACGAAATACGGAGTATTAGACAATTAGACCTCCATTAATAATAGACATGGAGTATTTAGGAATCATGTCAAATCCTAAAAGCTTCTTAATTCCTAATCTAGGGTGCTTTACTGCTTCAATCATTTCAACGTAACCGTCTTTACTTTTTACACAAGTAGCAACAAGGTAATAGAGATTGTGATTATAAGACTATCTATTTCATTGACTATAATAATAAATTAAAAAAAATCGAATCAGAAAAACCAAGTAATAAGAGGAGAGAACTAGACTCACAACACCCAGTCGATTGGCAGGTTTTCATATACTTCAAATATAGAGTACTGAATTATCCGATCGTACATTCTAATACATAGTGTGTATTGGTTTATTTTTGGAGGCCCCTTCCCCCTATGAGGCCCAAGGCAAGAGCCTAGGCTAACTGCCCCCAAATCCGCCACTGCCTACATAGGAGCAAAACATCATGAAATTTCAAAATATGATTGTCATATTTTTAGTCCCTCTGTAAGACTAATTACAGTCGAGTGCGAAAAATATTGTCATGTTTAAAGTCAAATAATGTCAAAATATAATACGGAGTAGTAATTACTTCCATTTGGAAAATAAAAATATGACAGAAATTCAAGTATGTTTTTAACTATGGCAATTGCTTCAATAAAAATGACACTAGCCGGATCAGAAATTCAAATTAAAACTAAGTTTAGTGTGCATCATTAAATAAGTTTCCTTTTGATTAATTCATGTTGATAGGCTCGATAAGACAAAAAAATTATGGCCAAATAAAATTCAAAAAACCTTTGTTGAATGAAAAACTTCCTATGACCATTCTTTGCACTTTAGGAACAAAAAAAATTTGGTTCCAAAAGTTATTTGCAGTGCTTATGATCAAGTTTGAAGAGATTGGAAGATAGGGCTATAATTCAATGGGGCTTGTCGGAGCCCATGTAGTGCCTTCATCAAGCGATAGACATGATTCGGAAATTGAGGATTAACAAATCCAGGGGGTTGAACCATGTAAACCGGTTGATGAAGAACTCCATTGAGGAAAGCATTATTAACATCCAACTAATGAAGACCCACTTGAAATGTACTGAGAGAGCTAAAATGACCCGGACGATGGCTGCTTTGACAATTGGGCTGAAAGTGAGAGATAAATCAAGGCCGGGGGTTTGTGTAAAACCCTGAGCAATAAGTTGTGCCTTATATCGATCAATAGTCCCGCCAGAATGATATTTGGTAAGAAAGATCCATTTGGAGCCAATTATATTTGCATGAGGTGGACTTTTTGCACCCATGTGTGTGAATAGAATCAAGTTCTTATTGCATAACAGTAACCCAATATGAAAAATGCGCAATGAAGAGCCATCACCAAGAACTACACTACCATTACTCGTGTATGGCTCATACTGGTCAAGAATCGATTGCTGAGATGTCATGTGAGCACGGGCTCCTGTATCAACATACCAATCTGAAGCTGAAGCATTTATGTCGCAAGAGGAATTAAACGCTTGTGCTAAATTAGCAGCGGAAGAGGAGGGAGTATTAGTAACTTGAAGGAATCGAGGACATTTATCGGCAAAATGATCTCCCCGACAAATCTGGCAGTGAGGAGTGAAATTTCTTCGAGACCCATGTTGGCTGTTTAAACTAGAGTGAGGACTCTCAGCATTAGAGCGATGGCCGCCGGAACTTGAGCGACCAGAAGAGATAGAGCGCTAGCGAGATGGATGACCATGTGAAGAGGACTCTGGACGGTGAGAACTATAAAACGCAGTCGGAGCTAGGGTTTAATTCTCTCTCTCTCTCTCTCTCCATACTATTGAGCCTGAGGAATCAAGTCGCGGAAAGGGGGAATAGGATCCTTGGACATCCGGTTATCAGCGAAACTCACAATTTGGGGCCCCAAGCTGCATAAAAGTCAGTGGCTTTTGTGCGATTCATCTACACGGCGACCAATAACCGGCTCCCATACTCAGAAACAGAGTGATCTACGGCGAAGGGAGAGAAGCTCGTCACGAAGCTGGTTGGCCTGGGAGAAAGCAGAAGGTGAAAAGGCAGATTCCAGGGTGAGCCAAGCATCCCGTGAAAATGTACAACCAACAACTTCAACGATGGATTCTTCGATGAGTATGGAGAAGAGAACACCAAGAATTTTCTGATTGGTTGCTCGCCAAGCTACATAGTCCAAATCGGGTGTTTCGTCAGAGTCGGTGATGACCGTAGACGGAGGTGCGGGTAGCGAACCATCAATATACCCAAGAACAGGGTTTTAAATAGCGGCCCGCTACCGCTATAGCGGCCGCTATATAGCGGTCGCGGTAGGGGCCGCTACCGCTACGGCCCGCTATTCCGCTGTGATTTCCAAATCACGGGAAAAATCCGCTACGCCGCCCGCTACAGCCCACTACAGCCCGCTATAGCCCGCTATTGACATTTCCGGCAGTACGTCACGAACGGGTTGATGTGTAAATGTGTCTATGTTGTGTAAATGAACTCTTAATGTTATAAATGTTCAAACAAATTTTCACAATGTTTGTATTAACTTCAACACTCATTAAATATATGTTTTGCGCAATTGAAAATATTTCACGCCGCTGCAATCGCTACAGGCCGCTACCGCGATGACCGCTACCGCTACCGCTACCGCTGCCGCTACGGCTATTTAAAACCTTGCCCAAGAAGATCGAAGGCTAGGAGCATCGGGAAGACCTGGCTTTTCCATAGCAGAATATTGGTGGAGGAAAGTTTGACGGTGATCATATGCACCATGGTGGCAATAGGAATAGAACCATTGCAGGAGGAACAAGATTGAAGACATGCACACAGGAACACGGGAAAGAGGACCAGAAGGGGAAAAGGTTTGATTTTACGGTGTTAGGCAAACTATCACACTAAGCTAAATCTTTGAAGCGTTCGTCTTTTATTGAATCAATCAAACGAGTAAAAGAGATGGATGATTGTACGAGTAGCACATAATTTTACCGCTAAGTTATCATTTTAAATCTTATATTTACATACAAAAATACAATTAATATATGCTTTGTTAATATATGCTTTATTTCACACAAAAATACTCTCCATATTATAATTTTAAAACAAAATCCAATCTGCCAATTTAAGCAACGGAGTTTTAAGAAGTCAACCTGTAAGAAGGTGTACGGTGCAATTTTAATAGTGTTTTATTGTTTTATAGTCTCGGATGCAGGGCCGTAGATGATGGCGTGTAAAGCGTGCCTTTGCACAGGGTCTCCAAAAATATAAGGCACATTTTTTTGAAAAATCTATATAGTGTATATATAGGGTAATTATTTTTGAAAATAGTTGATTATTTTATTTGCCCGAATGATCTAACTATTCAGGTTATCCAACCAAAGATAAAAATTCACTTTTTCTTATCCTATTTTCATTCATTCATTTATGATTTTAGACTTTTTTACTAGTTTTATTTGTTCAAGTTCAAAAAAGTGATCATTTCTCAATCTCACATTTGTTTGTAGTTTTTTTGGGTTTTCTTAAGATTGATTTTTGGTATTGTATTGATTTAATATAAGACCTGTTTTTTGTGACTCGCACCGGATCTCCTAATTTATTGAGCCGGCCTCGCTGTCGGATGCGAGACAAAAGCTTTAACAATTATCCAATTCAATTTTTTAAAAAAATAAAATAAAAAAATGTTTGTGAAAACCTATTTTAACATTAAAATTGACATTTTTTTTTACTTATTGAATTGCGGTTTCCATTTGCGTTTTTTTTTGTCACGCCCGGCCTCTACGATTAGGAAGGCCTAACAATCTCGAAGAGATCTTTCACTATCCAGTATTTTGTTCATAACTCAAAGCTTTCGTTGACCCTAGCAATATACTACGGAGTAATAGGTGAAAAATATAATAGTGATGGTCATGGGCTTAATTGGTTTGCATATTTGATTATACGAGTATTAATTAACCGCACAACACAAACTGACCTTTAATTCCTCTGCAAGTTAAACTGAATGAACAAAACTTTAATTTTTGCCATTTTCTACAATTGAGATTACGTGACTTATTTTAGGTCTTTCGAAGATTAACGTAATCGCAAAGCTCATCCATGACTTATTAACACAAAGTTTGTGTCAAATACCAATTTTCTAACTTGGCCAAGTGTACAAGCTAACTGCTGATCAAATCATTGTTTTTCTCCATAACCATATCATAATAATTACTCGTTGTATATAAGTCGGGAAAGATGTTCTCGGGGTCTCATGCGCTGCCACGTGTTGTATTCATTCACAAGTATCAAAATGAATTAAATGCTTAGTTACATTCTTCCATTTGCAAAATCAATGTTTTTATCAAATAATTTCATTTTATTGACTTACAAGTTGTTCTGTTCGTATTATTCTTATTACTTATTGTTTATTCTTATTTTATTTAGATCAGATCAGATCAGAAAAATTCAAATAGATTAGATCAGATCAAATTAAGGTATGGAATTTTACTTATATGTTAATTTGAATTTTTCAACCTTATATTGATTTTAATACAGTTTCTAAATATGTAAATTTTAATTATTAAAAATTGAGAGCCTGTTTGGTAACATTGCTATTGGCTGAATTGGCTGATTCTGCTGAAATTTATGAAGTTCTGGCTGAAGTGGCTGTATTGATTGTTTCCACAGATTTATGAAAAATTAAATCTAAAACGGGCATCTACAGTATTTCAACCAATACAGCCAGAAAAGTAACTTCAACCATACTTTTTCTTATTATTACACAATTCAGTGCGCGAAATCAAAAGTTACATGTTTGGTTAAAAAGTTGGCTAATAAATCTGATAAACCGAAAAACATAGTCACGTAACTGGTTCTGAATAAATTATCAATATGAATAATTTAAGTTTAACATTGGTTAACAAAAAAAATGTTAGATTTTGGATATTAATTTCGGATGGAGTCCTACAGTACTACCTTTCCTATGTGAACACTGTTCAAATTACGGGTTGCTAATAAAAAATATTTGGAGTACTCTATTTTAAGGAATAACGGTTTAAAATTCGTGGTTTTAGTTCACTTAAAATTAACCAAGAATATAATCTTCATGTTCTAGTTTCATACCCGGAGGCGGACACGAGAATTAAAACTTTGGTTAACAAAAACAATGATTCCATAAAGTAATATCTTTAGTACTCTCTAATGCATGTACTCATAGTTCCCAAATAATGCTGAAAGTTATCAACATTTAAAGCCTTTCAATTTTAGCTAACACACATAAAGCTAGCAAGTAGCAACCCTACTTTGATAAATACATCTCTATATATTCAGTCTTAATTGTTCTTAAATTACCGTTAGTTAGGGTGAAAGCACAATAGTTTAAAATTGGTTCAAATATTGTAAATCTTAGTTCAAGTAAAAGGACTATCGAGTCATTTACAGTACAATAATATTTAACGACATCCTTTTTAAAGTAGGAAAAATTGATAGTAATAATCCAACTATTGGCGATCCGCTCATAATAATCCCAACTATTGATTATTACAGAATAATCCCAACTTTAGGGACCTTCCGCCAATAATGGTCCCTATGAATAAATTCTTGTAGTTTCTAAAGTGGATGAGATGAGATATAACAAGTAATCCGTATAAATAATCTCAACTTTTAATTTTTACGTTTAATTTCTATTTTAAATTCACTTTTTATAGAGGTGATATATGGTCATGGACCATTATTGGCGGATAGTCTATATAGTTGGGATTATACAAAAATAATCAATAGTTGGGACTATTTTCGGCGGACCAGCAATAGTTGGGATTATTATTTTCAATTTTTCCTTTAAAGTAAATAGTAATAATGTTAAAATAATATTAAAATGTGCCAATCTAACTTGTAGTAATGAATAATAATATTAATAGTACACAAAAAAACTAATACGAGCTTTCAAAACAAATTAAATATGGTCAATTCTGAACATTTCTGATCTGATTTGAATACTTTTTGATATGATTTGATCCGACTGTTCATTATCTATTTGAATACTCCGTATTTTTTATCTTATTGATTAGAGTAAGAATGAGGTTAATATGAACCTTACAATTTGTTCATATTGTTGCTATATGACAATTGGTTTTTGCCGGTCATTCCACCCATCCATATGTTTCGTGAGGCTGACCGCAATCCAGATCCATCAATAAATCAGATTCCCCACCAAATAATACGTATTCACGCAATCAATTCAGTTTTTACTGCAATCCAGCACCGTCAATATATTCACCCAACGATTTTTTTAATCAAAATATTACTTTTATAACTATGCTTCGATTTTTTTCAATTTATTTTCCAAATAATTATTATTTAAAGGTCAAACATTTCGATGCAAAAACACATAAATTTGGAATTTTTTATTCAACTCAAGTAGTTGAAACTATATCTTTTTTTTTTAATAATTTTTTATATATGTGATATTGGTGTCATATGAAAGATAATAAAAAATAATAAATCATCATATATTTTTTGTAAATATTGAAGTATGAATAAAAAAAGTTATTACACTTCAAAAAAATTGGTATTTAAAATTTAGATGGGCCCACTACTTATTCCTTGCTACAGCCAATCACAAGTTTTTTTATTCGTAGTTCGTACAATGTGCAGAGCTAATGTCAGGGTGAATGTGCCTGCCAAATTCCCACTCCACCCGGTGCGATATATCACTTTCCCCTCCAAAATACATGGATTGCACTGATTTTAGGAGTGAATAGCTTAAAATTGCTTTATTCAACCCTGGATTGCGGTAGGAGTGAATAGCTTAAAATTGCTTTATTCAACCCTGGATTGCGGTCAGTCTGAGAGCTTTCCCAATGAGATTTCCCTAAACGTACAACTTCAAAGTTCAGACCAGCCATTCCACCCATGACCCATACCTTTGACCGGAATGTTCTAACATTTTCAAACGGATAGAAAAACGCCTCGATTCTCCATTTGCACCAAATTGCACCAAATTGTTCGAATTCTTCTATTTACATGCATTAAATGTTATTTTTTGTATCGAAGAAGGCCAAAGTTACTTTAAATTAGTTTCGATTTGTCCCACATATTAATCTTTAATTAAAATGTCAATGTGTATAGATATGATGAAGGGTGAGCATTATGGTACCACGTACAAATAAGTACGTGTGGGAAGCTGGGAAGGTACCTAAAATGTAATTCATTGGTGCAAGTGATCATTATCTCAACATTTATTACTACGTAATATATGTATATTAGGATTGCTTAATTGCAATGTACTAATTGGTCTACATAGATAAGGTATTGTAGCTTAATTGAGGATACCATAGAATTTGTCTTTCGTTAATTATGATATTCCATTTTTATTTTATTTGATGTGTTGTTACTCTTTGTATAGACAAGTATCTATCTATCCTTAACATTTGGTACTAAATAGCCTTAGGTTGCAATCGAACGTATTATTTCACTTGTAAC